TGAATTTCTGAGCTGTAGTGAAGAAAAAAAAAAAAAAAAGCGGTAATTACATTTAAAATCAGCACCATAATAAATAAATAATTTAAAAAAACGGCATGGGGTCCCCCCTCGCATCCAATCCAAGCCCTTCAGGTCTGGTATGGATTTTGAGGGGAAATCCCACTCCAAACTTTTTTTAAAAAATGGCGTAGGGTCCCCCCAAAATCCATACCAGACTTTATCCGAGTATGCAGCCTGGCAGGTCAGGAAAAGGGGGGGGGGGGGGGGGGGAGAGGTGGCAGTGTGGTGCGAGTGAGTGCCCCCCCCCTCCCCCCGAACCATACCAGGCCACATGCCCCCCAAAGCACCTTGGCTCCATTTTGATGGGGACGAGGGCCTCTTCCCCACAACCATGGCCAGCGATTGTGGGGGTCTGCAGGCAGGGTGCTTATCGGGATCTTGAAGAAGCCCCCTTTAACAAGGGGGCCCCCAGATCCTTGCCCCCCTTTTGTGAATGAATATAGGGTACATGGTACAACTACTCATTCACAAAAAAACACGCAGTTTTTTAAATTATTTTTTAAATTATTTTTTTAATTGACGGCAATTCTTTTGCTTTCCGCTGTCAGTGGGGAAATATTAACACATGGTTGTCACTACTAAAATACCGCATGACTTGATAAAATAGCTCTTGCGGTATTGTAGTAGCGTTTACTTTTTTCTGACCTTCGGAAAGGATTAATTGGTTTTGAATGCATTCCTATGGGAAACGGCGTTTCGGTTTACAATTTGTTTCGCTATATGAAAAGTCCTGCAGAACGAATTAAATTTGTAAACCGAGGTATTACTGTATTTGGTTCAGATGGTGTCAAGCGGGTGTGGTGGCAACCAGGTGAGGAGTACAAAGACAAGTGTGTCTTGCCTACAGTCAAGCATGGTGGTGGGAGTGTCATGGTCTGGGGCTGCATGAGTGCTGCCGGCACTGGGGAGCTACAATTCATTGAGGGAACCATGAATGCCAACATGTACTGTGACATACGGAAGCAGAGCATGATCCCCTCCCTTCAGAGACTGGGCCGCAGGGCAGTATTCCAAAATAATGACCCCAAACACACCTCCAAGATGACCACTGTCTTGCTAAAGAAGCTGAGGGTAAAGGTGATGGACTGACCAAGCATGTCTCCAGACCTAAACCCTATTGAGCATCTGTGGGGCATTCTCAAATGGAAGGTGGAGGAGCGCAAGGTCTCTAACATCCACCAGCTCCGTGATGTCATGGAGGAGTGGAAGAGGACTCCAGTGGCAACCTGTGAAGCTCTGGTGACCTCCATGCCCAAGAGGGTTAAGGCAGTGCTGGAAAATAATGGTGGCCACACAAAATATTGACACTTTGGGCCCAATTTGGACCTTGTCACTTAGGGGTGTACTCACTTTTGTTGCCAGCGGTTTAGACATTAATGGCTGTGTGTTGAGTTATTTTGAGGGAAAGCAAATTTACACTGTTATACAAGCTGTACACTCACTACATCACATTGTAGCAAGGTGTCATTTCTTCAGTGTTGTCACATGAAAAGATAGAATAAAATATTTACCGAAATGTGAGGGGTGTCCTTACTTCTGTGAGATACTGTAGATGACGAGGTCAGTGACCCGAAGAACATATCGGCCTCTATAGTTCTATCAGGACAGGGTCTGGTCACACCAGCAGGTGTTCTGTCCTGTATTAGGCATCGCTGAGGTCCATAGTCCATGAAGGGGTCCGGTGTTTATACAGCCTGAGCCGCCCAGTGCTGTGTGCAGGGATTCCATGTTACTTTATGGTGATGCTGCGTCTGCGCGGAAACAGCCACTCGCCCTAAATTGACAGGTAAGTTGGTGCAGGTGAGTGACCCCTGAATGCACGCTGTCTGTGTTCAGAGGCTTATCCCCCCATTAAATTAGGCTGAGCGTCTGTGTCTATGAAGACTCTGCATCACCATAAAGTAACATGGGCTCCCTGCACAGAGCACCAGGGGGCTCAGGCTGCGTAAACACCGGGCCCGTTCAGTGCCAGGTCCCACTGGAACACAATGTGGGAAACCCCCTAACTCTGTGTTTCCTACACCACGTTCAAAATGCACTGCAGTGGGTGTCAGTGTAAAGTTACCGCATGCACAATTTTTGGTGTGATTGTGTTGATGATTTGTGTTGGTATAAACACATCTCATTTTTTTCTTTTTTTTTTATTTTCAGTATGATTGAAGGCAATTCTTTTTTTTATTTTGTTTTATGTAATGGAGGGTATATCCATGCTATTTTTCTTTTGCCATATGTATCCCATTGTGAGATTTCCCTTCACATCCTGTCCCATAGTCAAAACAGGAAGTGAGTGGAAATTTCTCCAAAGTGAGGGATTCCTGAAAACTATGCAGGCCATAGGCGGTTCGTTTATCGGCCAAAAAACAAAACATCGCTCATTCTGTTGCCACCAATAATTACGAAAATCGGCTGTTTTTTGTAAATTTTCTAGCATGACCGATAAAAGAAATGAGGAGGAACTACGAAGATCGGCCAATGACATTGCCCCACTACTGGCCCGATTATTCTTTCGGGTTAAAATTTGGCCAATAAATGATCTGTCTATGGCCTGCATTAGTGACCCCATTGGAAGATTTCCCTTTTATTTCTCTTTGGTGACAACACAAATTTAACTCTTGGTGATGTCAGTTAACAGGACAAATGGGGTGAATCTCCTTAAGGTCCTGTTCACATTAGAATTGCCACGATTCTGCCCACGATTCCAAATCACACCATGCTTAATTGGGTGGCATTATTCTTAATGGTACCCTCAGTGCGGTGTGATTCTGCTCTGATTGTCACATGGCGATCGCAACAAAATGCGAGTTTCAAAATCATGCTAAACTTACTGCCCAAACAAGAATTTCTTTTGGGCGACAAATACTCAACTGGTGTCACCATTGAATTCCCAGGGAAATGGGGACTGCTGGCACCATGCAGGCTGCTCAGGTACAAGCAAACCTATGCAGGGATGTGCTGTGCACTATACATACTTGAAGTATCACCACAAGTTAAAAAACCTTGTTGAATATCCCTTGGGGCCCGATGTACCTAGCTATTGGCCCTGTTCAGATACTTGACGTGAATATTAAAATGCTTTTCTTTACTGTTTGAGCTGGCTGTAGCTTCACCCCAGTCTATCGACCAATTTATGGAAGTGGATATGGGGACGTTACTGACCTCTACATTTTTGCACCTCTGTTATCTAATCATTCAGCCCTGTGCCTCTTTATGTTCTAACCCAGGGCCCGACAAATCCCAGGCGCCAGGTCGCCATGGCAACTAGAAATTGCGTCCTGGCACCTGGGTTCACAGGAAGAAGGGTCGGCCGTACACTGGAGGATTGATGAATATAGTGTATATTTTTTGATCCATAGGACACACAAAACACCAGGACATGAGTACAGGACCTGCCAACGCGTTTCACACGATCTCATGCTTAATCATAACACAGAAAACAACAAAAGTGCTGTCTTATATAGGTATTAGTTAATAAAGAGCACCTGTCCTAATCAGAATTCCTGAATCCTGAGGAAACACCTACTAATGCATTGTAACAAAACATATAAAAACCATTGTATCAAAAACTGATCTCAGAGAACAACAAGAAAGGAGGAAAAGAAGAAGGAAAGCGAAGTGGAATAAAAAGCGAAACACTATATTCATCAATCCTCCGCTGTGTATCTGATCCTTCTTCCTATTGCATCGTGTGTGGTGGCGAGCCAGAGCCTGCACCTGTCGTGGATTGATCTGGATTGTTTGCCTGAGCGGTATACCTCTGTTCTTTGGATTCAGACCTGGGTTCACACACTGCCTCCCGTAGACTTCAGTGCAAAAACTCCTGTCAATAGGAATCCTATGTGAACATTTATCTCTGCATGCCACTTTATCACTGGCGAGTCTGGAACGAACCGCTACAAACTCGCACAGGACCCTTTTTGTAATGGCACTCGTATGGATCGCATCTGTGTAAACCACCTCAATAGGAACACATGATATCTAGTCTGTCATGTTAATCTCTGAGTTTGAAAACACATCCAGAATTGCATATGTGTGAATCAGGGTGGCTCCATTCACACCTGGGCATTTTGGGATTGCTGTGATCGCAGGTTCAGGTGCCTTTATTTTCAGTGGCACCTAAAACATGATATTGTTTTGCTGTGATTGCTGCACAGTAAATCGCAACGCACAAAGCTGTTGCCTTGGCCCGTGCGCTGACAACCCATGGCTCCTAATTTTCTTAGCGGGCTTTTAGCTTCAAAGCAAAATAGTCGAGCCCTGCCCCAACCCCTTGACCATCTTCCCTGTACACAGAATGGATCGATGACTGAGCCCAGACCCATCCACCTGTTAGAAAAGAGACACTAAGATAGTAAATAACGACACGTGTTAAATGACGGTGCACTGGAAAGCATCATTATTCACAACAACACATGTCAGCTACTACATTAGGCTCCCTTCCCAGAATAGCAGGTAGGTGGGTCTGAGAGACACCAGTGTAGTAACTGGCATTTGTTGTGACTGTTCATCTCCAGCACAATGACACAAGCCAACAACTACTTTCTCTCCAGCTCTCCTACAAAGTAATCGAGGTCCCTGCAGACTGAAATCTATAAATTAATCTTTCTAACCTCCATCACTTCCTTCTTCATGCTCTTCTTTAACCACTAGCCTACCGGGCACTTATACCCCCTTCCTGCCCAGGACAACTTCCAGCTTTTAGCGCTGTCACACTTTGACAATTGCGCGGTCATGCAACACTGTACCCATATGAAATTTGTTTCGTGACACAGCTTTATTTTGGTGGTATTTAATCACCTCTGGGTTTTTTTTTCTTAAACCAAAAACCACTGAAAATTTTGGGGGAAAAAAACATTTTTTTCTTAGTTTTTGTTATAAAAATTTGTAAATAAGTGATTTTTCTCCTTCACTGATGTGCGCTAATGAGGCTGCAGTGATGGGCACTGATAGGTGGGGCTGATGGGCCCTGATGAGGAGGCACTGGTAGGTGGCACTGATGGGCATTGACAGGCATCACTGATGGGCACTGATTGGCATTGATGGGTGACACTGAAAGGCAGCTCAGATGGGCCCAGATATGTGGCATTGATGTGCACTGGTAGGCACTGATATGTGGCATGGATGAGCACTGAGAGCTGGCACTGATGGACACTGACAGGTGGCACTGCTGGGGCTACACAGATCATCAGGGCACACTGATCATCAGTGCTCTGATGATCTGTGTACATGTCCCCTCCGAGGAATGCCGATTACCGGCTCTCCTCTCGAGCTGTCACCATGCTGTTTACATGCGATCAGCTGTGATTGGACACAGCTGATCACATGACTGAGCCGACATCTTCGGCTCTTTCCGTGGATCAGTGATCTGCTGTGTCCGAGGGACACAACGGACCGCCTATCGCCACGCTGCACGCTCCCGGAGCCGCACATGCGCGCTGAGAATGGGAGGACGTCATATGATGTCCTCCCAGAACGAGAGAACCACCTTGCGCCCGTCATTGGACTATATGGCAGGCAGGAGGTGGTTAACCACTTCCCGACCGGCCGTTGTATATAAACGGCCGGACGGTGGCAGTACAGGGTCGGGTGGCCCTGGGAGCGCGCAGCACCGTGATCCGGTGCCCGCTGTGTCCTCCGGACACAGTGAAACACCGATTGTCGGACGGGACCTCTGTACGAGGTCCCGATCATGTGATCACTGATTGGCCAATCAGTGATCACATGCAAAGTAGTAAGCAATTGTCACTTGTGACATCATTGCTTACTACGTGTGAAATCTGTGAATGATCACAGAGGTCACATGGTACAAGCCTATTCACAAAAGCCTTGTACCATGTGACAAGCTGTGACCAATCACAGCTCACTCAGTACTTCTCAATGAGTGCAGGAATGCACACAGAGAAAGAGAAATGATTGCTTTTACATCCTATATGGGTGTAAAAGCAATCAGTAAAAAAAAAAAAAGAAAATCTTCATCACCCCCCACAAGTAGTACAGTGTCACCATGGTGACACTGTACTGCTAGGGTGACAGTATTAAAAAAAAAAAATAAATAAATAAAAAAATAATATAAAAATGTTTAAAAATTATAATTTTTGGTTATAAACTAATTTTTTTTTTTTGTTTTTTTTTTACTAAAAATATAACGGAATACATTTTGGCAAAGATTTATGATGAAATATTATTTATTTGCAAAATTTTATAAAAAAAACACTTTTGTTCAAAATGTTTGGACTTTTTCATTTACATAGCAAAAAAAATAAAAATCCCAGCGGTGAATAAATACCACCAAAATAAAGCTTTATCTGTCTCAAAAAAATGGTAAAAAATTAATTTGGGTACAGTGTTGCATGACTGCGCATTTGTCATTCAAAGTGTGATAGCGCTGAAAGCTGAAAATTGCCCTGGTCGGGAAGGGGGTAAAAGTGTCCGGTCTGGAAGTGGTTAAAGTGGTAGTAAACACCGCTTGCTCACTTGTACCTACAGGTAAGTTTATAATAAAACAAGAAATATCTGCTAAATATTCACTGCTTCGGAGATATTCACTACTTTGACCTCACTGACGCATGCACACTGCGCTCTGAAGGGATAGCATGTCGTCCCTTCAGAGCTGTGCGTTGCGGACGTGGCTTCCATGCACAAGAGCGACATCATCGTGGCCCTGAAATTCCAACAACGGGAGTCTGCGAACACAGAAGGAAGGCCAAGAGAAGATGGAAGCCCTGTCAGTGGTGACAGCGCACCACTGAAGGGCTTTGTTTTAAGGCAAGTCTCTTATGTGCCAGTATGCAATGCATACTAGCACATTATGACATTGTCTGCAGGGGGAAATTTATTTATTATTTATTTTTTTTTTTTTTTCCCCCGACACTTTACTACTGCTTTGACTTTTAAATGGGTAGTAAACTCTAACAAAATCAGTGCTGACCATTCTGTTTCTAAATGTCATTGCAAAACTCCAGACAAATACCCATTCCAGGTATCTATTTAAAACGAATTAAATGTGTTTGAAGCATTTCTAATATCTACCCAAGGTCTATCTTTATATTATCTTCCCACAATTTTCTGTTTCCTCAGTGCAAGAATATAGTTATTAAATGACAACTATATTTATCTTCTGCATATTCCAGATGTTCAGCATACATGATGAATGTTGGGTCAGTCAAATATGGCCCTAAATGGTATAAGCAAACCTTTTGAAAGGCCGGTGTTCAGTAAAGTGTGTCAGGTGTACTAGAGAAGGTGAAGTACATCTAAAGGCTCTTGTTTAGCAGTCTAAATGTATCTCATATTGAGTTATTGTGCAATGTATAAGCCTCATAAAGCCAAATCCTCCTTCATCTGTGTCTCCCACATTCCCCCTCCCAGACACTGCAGCTCACAGTGGGAGGGTTTCAGCAGCAGAGCAGTGCTGTCAATCCAGAAGGCAGTGGGAAGGACTGTGTGAGGTCAGGTGCTGAATGACAAGCTACAGACGGGGTCGTTGCCCCCTATTAAGTCTTGCCATCCAGCTGTAGTTCAAGCAGCCACAGCCTACATGGGGGGTTTCAACAAGTATTTGTGGAACTTTGCAGAAGGGCCAAAAGAAAACTGTCAGGGCACATGAAGCACATACTTTTAATAGAAGTTCATTTTTAATGTGATCGCTTCAGAATGGTTGTTTCTTCTGTTGTCGGTTATACAGGTAAATTTTGCTGCCTTTCTCCTCACAGGATGAAATTCTCAAAGCTGCGGTTATGAAATATGGCAAAAACCAGTGGTCTCGTATTGCATCTTTGCTACACAGGAAATCTGCCAAACAATGCAAAGCCCGATGGTAAGTCTGGCTCTGAAAATTCATGCAGAATATTGCAAAAGGTGAACACATCTAATAGAAGTGCCTGATTTCCTCACTGGGGTCTGTTTTTAAGATGGCTCTGCAGAACTCCGTAACAGCACTATTTAAAGGGTAACTCCACTCCACTTTCAAGAGCAAGTGCATAGCAACCCCCCCCCCCCAAAAGAAAAAAAAAAAAAAAACAGCATTTTCTTCACAAGCCAATATGTAATTTAATGTTTTTAAAAACTACTTTTCCTTTTCAAGCCACAGTCGCTGTAATTCTCTGTAAAATTCAATGCAATATGAAAATCTGGAGGCCTTCTGTACATAGTTGGTGTATAGAACTTTGCTAGAAATGTCATTTTCTGCTTGTGTGATAGGCTCACTAATTTTCCCAGAAGTCTGCAGCAAGATACAAGTCAGATTTTAGGCATCCTCTGGAACACAAATGTCATACTCCCAAAGGGTTAATTACTTCTAAAGGGATGCAGATCCTGCAACTTTCCTTTTTAAAACACTGCAAGTGCATCAGCTGATTAAGAATAAAAAGTCACTTTGATTCAGATTTACTGATCAAGAGGAAGCATGCATCCTGTGAAACCCAAACTTTTGATATGCATCCTTTTTTTTTTTTTTTTTTTTTTTTTTCCTGGGTCAGAATCGGTTCACAATATTTAATATTTGAAGTTATTTGATTAGTATGAAAGTCAAAAAATCAGTAATGTCAGAAGGAGAGAACAGCAGTAGTTGCTTCCATGCATCCAGGGCAGCACAGTGGCTGAATGGTTAGTACCTCCATTTGGCAGTACTAGGGTTGTTGGTTCAAATCCCGACCATGGCATCACCTGCCTGGAGTTTGCATGTTCTCCCTGTGCCTGCGTGGGTTTCCTCCGAGTACTCCGGTTTCCTTCCACACTCCAAATACATGCTGGTAGGTTAATTGGATCCTGTCTAAATTGGCCCTTGTATGTATATGTATGAATGTGAGTTAAGAACCTTAGATTGTACACTCCTTGAGGCTTAGGGACTGATGTGAATGTACAATCTATATGTAAAGCTGTGCATAAATTGATGGCGCTATGTAAGTACCTGTAATAAATAATAATGTAATAATCCTTAGGCTACTTTCACACTGATCCAAAGCAAAAACGCATAGGCAGTTTTGCCGCGGTTTCTAAGCATTTTTTAAAGGACTCGTGACTTAAAAACTGCACCAAAAACACTTCTCAGGTATTCAAGCGTTTTCCATTGATTTCAATGGGAAGAGGCATTTATGGGGTGTTTTTTTTTTTTTTTTAACTCACGAAACATGCCCCAAAGATGCTGCTAGCAGGAGTTTTTACACCACACCGCAAGCTCAACGCCTCACTGTGAAAACAAACATAGACATACATTCACATACATGGGGGAAGCATTTTTCTTGAGCTTTTCAGGCACTTTTTTTAATGGAAAAAAACGCTTCAAAAACTCCTCAGTGTGAAAGTAGCCTTAGAGTGATTGTAAAGCTTCTATTTTTTAGTATTATTATCATAACAAACATACCTACCTGCTCTGTTTAATGGTGCACAGAGCTGCCCGAACCTCCTCTTCTTGGGTCCCCCATCGACACTCTTGGATTCTTCTCTTCTCAGTGTGCCACCATAGGAAGCTGCTTCCAAGCCAGGCTTTGTGCATCCATAGACACACACATAGTGCTGCTTGGCCCTTTCCCCACTCACTCATCACACGATTTGACTGACAGAAGGATCCAATGGCAACTGTTGCTCTCAGTAAGGCATGTGAATGTAGGAAGAGAGGAGAGCAGGGCTGCTGGTGGGACAGCATTGGATCAAGAGTGGTGTCAGGTAAGTGTTTGGCATGGAGGAAGAAGGCACAGACACCTGAAGCTTCTGTTTACCTTAATGCAGAAAATGCATCAAGGTAAGAAAAAAACCTTTTTGCCTTTATAGCCACTTCCTTTGGTTTCTGTCCTGTGTTTCCTTTAAAACATTTGACTGGCAATGCAGTCACAGGTGGATAGTGTAGGCTGTGGGAAAACATTGCAGTCAGTGGAGAGTTGTGTCTAATGCACATTCGTTGAGGTCGCACATCTATCTGGGTCACAATGTAGCTTTAAACCGCACTGAGCTGCTAAATGATCTCAGTAAAAGTTCAGATATATAGTGCAAGTTGTAGAGTGCTGCATTTCATAACATTCATTTGTTGATTTTGAATAGGAGACTGCAGGCTGGAACTTTGTACTGGTAAGCCATGGTTAGCAGAGGCTAAATCTGTGTTTTATTTTCAGTACAGACATGCGCAGAAGAATCTCTATTCATTCTTATGACAAGGTCTTCCACTATTGCAGCAAATAATAGATGGCCTTTTCATTGGAATGGACTGGGAAATGTTGGCTGGAGTTGAGTTTAAGTGTAATGTTCATTCTGCTGCAAGAATGCTCACAGTTGTATTCCTCAATGACAGGTATGAATGGCTGGACCCTAGTATTAAGAAGACAGAATGGTCTCGTGAGGAGGAAGAGAAGCTGCTGCACTTGGCCAAGCTGATGCCTACACAATGGAGAACTATTGCCCCAATCATAGGCCGCAGCAGCTCAGTGTCTGGAACATTATGAATACTTATTGTAAGTACTGATTAGTGGTGCCAGTGAAGGTTTGTCAAAGTCTGATGTCTCATATGCTGCTTCTCGCATGTGCATATTGTTGTGTCTGTACCTGCCAGAATCTGCTGTGTGTTGCTGTATGTGCCCCCATCAGGGAAATTCACCCTCTCTATTTGTACCATATACTAGATCATTGAAAATTAAAGCTAAAGAAAATTCCAAATTTTGGATTGTCCCAAGAAAAGTAATAAAGGAGAAATCTTTCAGTGGGGATACAAGATCTAGTGACCCTGGTGACAGCCAAGGATCCCCTTTTTTTTTTTTTTTTTTTTTAAATGTCCCTATAAATTCTTTAAAGGAGATTCCTGACTTGTATAATTTTGATATTTGGTTATACCACACTGGCAACCTTAGAGTCCATTACAACATGTATGTATAGATACACAACTAATGCAGACATTGAAAACAAAATGTGCCATTTGCCTCTGCATGCGCATGTAGCTGGTAAGAGTTTTCTTTTATTCCATGGTTGTTGAATCTGTTTTGTCAGGCTGCAGCAGGCAATTTCAGTGTTTGCATATGTGTAAGGATATGTTTTTTTTTCTGTTTTTTAAATCAGAGATAAAGCTGCACAGAGAGATAATGAAGAGGAGGCCGCAGATGACCCCAGGAAGCTTAAACCTGGAGAAATTGACCCAAATCCAGAAACAAAACCTGCCAGACCAGACCCGGTGGACATGGATGAAGGTGCTTCATTCAACACATTTAAAGCTAAACTCCAGGCCAATATAAAGCACAACTGAGTGCAGCTCTTTAATCATTGATACAGTGATGCATTTTTTTTTTTTTGTATATGTAACCATTGTGAGTAACTGAATTTGACCTGGTATCGGCTTCTTGCAGTCCCCTGTACCATAGAGCTTAGACTGGGAAAGACTGTGGCCAAACTGGGAGACAGTCAGGTATGTGAATATGCTGACAATCAATAAGCTGTCTGTCAGCAGCTACTTTACTGTCCAAACAGCAAGCCAGGGGTAGGTTGGTGTTACCATTCCATAAAATGTTACTAAACCCTGGACCCTGCATTCACTATATCTGGTCTCTTACAATACACACAACATGGAAGTGCAATTATTTTAGTAAATCTAAAAACTGCTAGATACCATTTCTTATCAGCAGAATATGGCAGTCCTGTGACTTTTATCAGTGGCTGGCTGAGCACTAGGTAATCTTGTAGGAGGGAGTTTTCATTCTCCCATGCCTGTCTTAAAAGTCTGCATGACCCCTGACCCTCTGTGTGGGACAGTGCTGATTGGCCCTGATCACATGCACCCTCCACACAAAGAAAACCTCTATATTATTATTATGCAGGATTTATATAGTGGCAACAGTTTGCTCAGCACATTACAACATAAAGGGAGACAATACTGTTCAATACAAGAGGGTTAGGAGGGCCCTGCTCCTTGGAGCTTACAATCTAAGAGCAATACACACCAAACTGAGCATGTGCAGAGTGCCTCCTAGGGCTCTGTACCAGCAGCAGATGGATTGGGGACAGTGGAAGAAGAGGAGGATAAGAGAAGACAGGATCAAACAGCCTTTTTACACAATGCAGAGGATTAACCCCTTAGGTTCCTCAGTGGGCATAACAAGCATGCTTTACTGCATATACAGACTGATTTTACTGTTGTGGGTTTAGTAACACTTTGTTACAAGGAACATCCTCCTGACTGTGTTTATATAATTAGTACATTTCAGAACTCTATGGGTATAAATACAAATCATTTGTTGGATAAAAACAGCTTCCATATACGTTTCTACTTTATGTATTTATATGTTTGTCTGGAGTCCAGTTTTAAGGTCCCTTTGTTTTAAAGTTGAGCTACAGGCAGAAAATGTGCACAATTAAAAGTATAAAGTCAAAACTCTTTTTAGATTTATATAGAGTGGTGAAGGGTTAGAACCTCTGTTAGGGTTTTTATTGCTATCTAGGCTTCTGTTATGAAGATTCATTCTCTGATTTTCCTGACCACAATGCCGCAGAGAGTGACAGTGCGTTCAAATCCAGCATTGAGTTGACTCCAGAACAGGAATAGTTCCAATGACAAATGTCTAAGAAGGGATTTCCCTCGCTTCTATTGAGTCTACAGAGCAGGAAGTGAAGATAAATCTCCCTAGCAAGGCACTGATGGCAAAAAGAAAACCCTCCCTTACTCAAACCAAAATGAGAAAAAAAAAAAAAAGTTTTGGCTTTACATATATATTAATAAGGGCGTTAATTGCAAAAATATATTTGCATAAGGGGATTTTCCCTAGGATGTTCTATGTACACAAATCCAGATGTCTGCTTCTGTAATCCCATGTGAACATAAATTTCATTAGGAGGTTCAGCGCCCTCAGCTGGTGAGGACTGAACTTAACCTTTTTTTTTTTTGTTCAATCACCCACTGCATGAGTGAATACTCCATTTACTTTAGTTTGGTGAGTGGGTGTCAGAACATAAAGGATGCCTGAATTGTTGAAAGTAAAATAAAGTAGGAAGGGAGGGGTTCCTTAGTCCAAAGAGGAAAAAATAGAAACACATAAATATAAATGCTCTAAAGGTAACAAATTATAAGATGACAAGGTTCCTACCAGGATTTTTTTTTGTTTTTGTTTTGGACTTATGAAACCGATTATAACAGAAGTCTTTTAATTGTTTAACGGTCTAAAAGGGAGTAAATAAGAAAAGTTAATTGTTAGGAACTGTGTACCTTTTTAAAGGAATTCTATGGTCCCTTATTATTTTACAACATTAGCATTGTAATAGCAAAACAAACAATAGTTCTTTCTCCTCTGTTCGTTGAAGAACACAGTCAGATCTTCATGATGGATGGGTTTGATGTCCCTACCTGCAGGAGCAGGACCCTAGGTGTAACCAAAGCTAGAAAACACACCCTAGGATCGGCCCCCTGTTGGTGACCAAACTAACCCCCCCACACCTGCAACACACAGCTTAGTTTTTTGGCTAGTGCATAGGATTTAGGATCCTTTCATATGGGGCGGATTCTGTTTCAATCAGCATGGGTTTTGTGTGATGATCCCCTGCTTATCAGAGCAGAATGGGGTGGATGTCACATCTGTGTCTTCTCAGTTTCTGCAGAGCGGACATAGACAGACCCTGCTGTGCTCTATGGGCAGCCTGATGTAAAAGGACTCTACTATTTGTTTACACTCTACTACTTCTGGTCTGGTCTGCCAGAATTGGAAGAGGATGCAGTTCTCAAAGTTTCTTTTAGGAGACCTGGATGTAGGCAGGTATAAATGGCCACACAATTATGGACCTTCTGAGCAGGTCTGCCTGATAAACTGACAAGCAGACTGGATTGTAGCACCTGTGTGAAAAAGGCCTTAGGACTAATATTTTCTTTTCCCATATTTTTTTTCAAGTGTTTTTTTTTTCTCTGTTGATTTGATTCTTCCTTGACCGCAATCAACTGTGGTGCTGGATGATAGACCAGATAGATAGAGGTGTGTGTGTGTTGGACAAAATTATGGAAACAAGTAAAAGTATGATAAAAGAACAAAATTGTAGGACCACCTTTGCCATCCAAGACTGCTTGAATTCTCCTGGGAATTGACAAATATAAGTCTTGGATGGTGGATAATGGAATCTGATACCTCTTTTGGTCAGTTGACTGCGTGTATGCTTAGCAGATGAGGTTTTCCCAGAAACTATATATGCCGCCATAACCTTTTTGATACTGTACCTCGCAACATGGCAAATAAATTAGCAACTTCAGTCACAGAGGCACCAGCTAATCGGGCACCAGCAACTTGCCCTCTTTGAAACACCGTAAGCTCTGACACGACTGAATTACTAGCAGTGCACACAGTGAATGACGAAAGTGATAAGGAGAGAGAGAACATTTAAAACCAGGCAAATTTTAATGAATAAAACACTCACGTGTGAAGTAAAAACAGGCATGTCTTGGTAAGTGGGTTTGTGTGGTCTGGTGATGGTGTGTGGTAGCCTGTGCAATCTTCCTTGTTCTTGCCGTTCCAGTGGATTCCAGGGCTCGGGGGGGGTAGCAGGGAGGCTCTGGGTTGTGACGCAGCCCGTGACCAAAACTCCACATATGGTGCGCGTTCGGAGCATGCGCTCTCCTTCCTCAGGCCAATCAGTTGGCCATCATGAGTGAGGCTTATATGGGCAGTGAGGGCGAGCATGAAACCAGCAAGCCGATGGAAAATAACATATGTACTCAAGCGGCCTGATGGTAGTGGTTTATATGGCTATAGACATGCAACAATAACATTCTAATGAAAGGATATGTGCAGTATTTACAATCAGTGTTTTCTTACAGAGAGTTGTAGTAAAAAAAAAAAAAAAAAAACTTTCATAAAAGGACGATATCATTAACAAAAGAGAGGGGCTGTAAGCATGACAGACTATAAGGGTCCTGTAAACTTGGGTATACAGGTTTCACACAAAAATTTCACGTCTGCTCATTTGTTCTAACTGTCCCTGATGAAATAGCAGACATAGTAATGCACAGGGTTAAACTAGCACCAGTTGTACAGCTCCCAATGTACACAGAACAATGTCTTTTGGAACACTGACTTATGAAGGTTGGTGTTCCCCGTGACTGCGTGCAGCCTTGTTCTGTTGTCTGTTGGCGTGTTACAAAACTAGTCTTGAACCCCTCTGCCCCACCCCCCAAGCACATGCATTTATCTGCCATGGTAGGACGACTTTGCCAGCTTCCAGGCTACTATGCAATGGTAGACTCCTTGGCGATACAGACCTGGTCTTTCTGTCAAGTGAGTACTATCTGCAATAGAGTCGGTTATGACCTGAGACTTGGAGGTGGTATGGAGAGGGAACAGGGGGGAAGGGGTTCGAAATGCTAACAGTAGTTCTATTTGACAGTTCAGTAGTGCTGTATATCTGCTGGCCATCTCTTTCCACAACTTCTGGATTCCTTGTGTGCCTTGCATATTTTCTGTTGCTTTTTAGTTTTGATTTCTAAGGAGAACATATCCTATGGTGTTGCTGCAAGCAGTGATTCCCGTAATGATTCCACTTTCTAAAACTCCTCCTCTCAGCACCTCTGTAGTTCAGAATTCAGGCTCTGTGAAATGTGTGACACAGCAGTGCTTACTAGGGATGCACCGTTTCGGCTGAAAATACCCCTATCGGCCTTCGGCCAACATGAGAGTAAGTACTGATGCAGGTGCTGAAAATAACCCCGCCTTCGCCGCCACAAACGCCTAGTTGTTCTCAGCCTTACCTGAGAACCCATCCAACGATCCCAGCGCTGGGCATAGAGATCGGTGAGGAAAAGATGACATCCACTCATCTCTATGCCTTTGGAGGACCCGAGCATATAAAAAGTTTATATATAAAAAAAAAGTAATATATTTTTTTTTTGAAATGTTTAAAGCCCCCCCATGTGCTCAGGCGTAGTGGTGAACTCATATGTAGGCCATGCCTTCATATGTAAATGGTGTTCAAACCACATATGTGAGGTATAAGAGCAATAATTCTAGCAATAGACCTCCTCTGTAACTTTAAACTGGTAACCTATAGAAATTTTTAACGCGTCACCCATTGAGATTTTTAAGTACCGTAGTTTTGGTGCCATGCCACGAGCATGTGCAATTTTAAAGCATGACTTGTTGGTTATCGATTTACTCAGTGTAACATTATCTTTCATATTAAAAAAAAAAAATGGGGCTATATATTGGTTTTTTTCTAAAGTATGCAAATTAGTACTTGTGAGCCACTTTGTGTATGAATTAATTAGTGCTAAGGTTCGCTGACATTACTCACATCCTCATTATATGTGTATTTATACTTCTTTAAAAAATAAAAAAATGTTGCGCTCCAAAATTAACCATTCCAATACCGGGCAATTTTACACCTTCCTGCCCAGGCCATTTTTCACGTTTCAGCGCTCTCACACTTTGAATGACAATTGCGCGGTCATACAACATTGTACCCAAACTAAAATTTTATCATTTTCTTCACACAACTAGAGCTTTCTTTTGGTGGTATTTAATTGCCGCTGGGGTTTTTATTTTTTGCTAAATTAACAAAAAAAAGACCAAAAATTTTGAAAAAAAATACGTTTTTCTTTGTTTCTGTTATAAAAGTTTACAAATAAATAATTGTTCTTCATAAATTTAGGCCAAGATGTATTCTGCTACATGTCTTTGGTGAAAATAACCCAAATGAGGATGTATTTTTTAGTTTGTAGGAAAGTTATAGAGTTCACAAACTATGGTATAGATCTGAATATTGATCAATCCTGAAGTACTGACAGCCAATCTAATTTCTTGAGGTCCAAGAATGTCAGAACAGTACAGATATCCCCCAAATGATCCCTTTTTGCAGAGTAGACAGTCCGATGTACTTCATAAGAGGAATGGCGAGTTTTTTTAAGTTGTATTTTTTTTGTCATAATTTTTCGGAAAATGAATAAATTAGAAAAATTAGTTTCACTTTTATTTTTATTTTTTTACATATTGTCACCAGTGCAGTACAGCATCTTCATATAACTGGCATGGCGGGGATCAGGGACACTGGTGACAGTATGAAAAAAAAAAAAATATATATTTTTTTTTTTAAGATTTTTTTTTTCATATTTCACTATGTCCAAAGTAGTACAATGTTACCATAGTAACATTGTACTACTTTGGGGAAGTGATCAGTATTTTTTTTTTTTTCTTTTTACACGATTTGCTTATAGCAAAGAATTACTTTGCTATAAGCAAGCATTTACCTGAATGACATCGATTCATTCAGTTTTTTTTTTTTTTTTTTTTGTGCTTTGCTGTGATTTGGCCACAGCTAATCACATGACATGTGCATGTGATTAGTTGTGACCATTCACAGCTAGACACTAGTATACAATGGATGGCATGAATGAAGCCATCCATTGTATACAACTGTCATGGGACCTGCTGTGATTGGTCACAGCAGATCACATGGTACCGGCAACGGGGCCGATACTCAGATCTGTCATCAGCCGTGTCCGAGGTACACGGCCGGTGACAGATCGCGCCGCTGCACGGCTCTGCAGGAGCGCGATCTGCGCATGTGCGGGAGGACACCATATGGCGTCCACCCGGAACGCTGATGACATTTGCCGGCTGCCATTCGGCCATAGGGCGGGCGGCAAATAGTTAATAATAAATATTTAGTGTTATATCTCAACATCCACTTTCATGATTTTCTACTTACTAAATATAAATGTGCTTAGTGCCAAATATTCAATTATCAAATTTTTTTTTTTTTAATCCTTAAAGTGTATTTTGTTCCAAAAAAATTGCGTTCGAAAAATATATTCATTTTTAAAAACTGTCCGTTTTTGGTTTTCGGCCAAGTGCATCCTGAATTTTCGGTTTCAGCGCCTGAATTTCCATTTTGGTGCACCACTAGTGCCTCCTTCACAGGACATAGTGACTACGTATCACAAAATTCAAGGATGTATGTGTTTTGGGGATTTTCACAAAATAAGTTTATAAAATACCAAAACCATTCAGAATAGAAGAGTAGAAATTAATTGAAATACAATGTGAAAATGAATATACGATTTTTTATTTAGACCATAAATGCGCTTTAAGAAGTCAGGGACCTTGGGTCTACTCTGTATGCCTAGTAAACCTACCTTGCCTGGGATGTGACTGCGTGTAAATATCAGTATCTGCTGTGCGTTTGACTGTTTTCTGTAGCTGTCAGGAGCAGCTAATTGCAATGTAAAAATTTTTTTTTCTCACAGAAATTGCTAAAACAGTCCTAAAAGTATAAAAATATTTTTTCCGGAACTCAGTGACATGAAATAAAGACTTTCAATGGTGTAATAACTTATTGTGAAGAAATAATTGCACACCTATGGAATATTTGTGTCTGAATTGAACATTATGATGGGAATATCATGACAAGATGACATAATACACAACTATAATGTTGTATACACTGTAGTGAGTTTACCCCAGTTCCTTCCTAATGTAGACCTTTTAGTCTTGTTTGAAAAAGAGGCCAACGGGCAGTAGAACTAAAGTAACATCTTGGCTTTCATTATGTCCAAATCTCAAATTACCATTTAAAAGTGTTTTTTTTTTTTTTTTTTTGCTTGTTTTTTTTCCGCACCCTTGCAGCTTCAGAGCCTCCCTTATTTAATCAGTAGCTGTTGAAAAAACTGATTATTTTGTATCCCTCCCATCAGCCTGTTTACTTTGAGTACATTTACTTGCAGTGGACTTGATTGGCTTACAGTCCTGCCCCTCTCAGTCTCAGTGTAGCTGCGTATGGAACTGCAAAAGACCAGGTCAATTTCAGGTACCTAAAGCAGAACATGGTGCATTGTGATCCACCTCCCAAAGTGTGTATTAAAATAAAAACCCAAAAAACTATGCAAAGGTTTTTTTTTTGTTTTTTTTTTTTCCCTGCAGTCTTCTATCTGTTCTAGTAACTTCACAGAAGCTTCCTCCTCTTCCTTCGGCAACAAGGAGTGGGCATTCTACCAGGACTGAGTGGCACTCAGTACATGAGTGTCCTGGAAGAATGCTTTGTTGCTGAAGGAAGAAGTGGATGCTGCTGTGACGTCACCAGACCAGCTAGAAAGACTGCAGGAAAAAGGTATGTATAGTTCTGGAGTAATGTGAGCCCAGCCTACGTGATGACGTGGTCCTATAGGGCGTGTAAACAAGCTGGGCTCACAGGAAATGGGCAAAATTATGAAAACACCGTTCTGCTCTGAGGACCTCTAACACTGACAAGAGATCTTAAAAAGAGTAAGTAGAAAGTGGTGGTATTTGTTTTTAAATATATACTGGAAACTGGAAGATATGGGAGAAAAATGCAAAAAGTTATTAGAGTTCTACTTTAAATTAGTTGCCTTTTAAGATACACTTTAATGATTTATTAATAAATACCTAGATTTATAGTTTGTGTGTGTGTGTATGTATGTGTAATAAATATATATATATAATATATATATATATATATATATATATATATATATATATATATATATATAATCATTTTTTTTTGTTTTTATATCTTCCTGGAGTTCACCTTTAAATTATACACAGAACTCTCACTCGGGTTGTGTTTTTCATTGCTTGTGTCTTGTCACACATTCAGTGCATGTTTGAAAAAAAAAAAAAAAAAAAGACATATAATGGTTCTATTTTCCAGACGAACTTGAGATGTTGTCTGAAGCCAGAGCACGTCTAGCCAATACTCAGGGTAAGAAGGCCAAGAGAAAAGCTAGAGAAAAGCAACTTGAGGAGGCAAGGTATGTTGCTTTATCATCTCAGGTGGACACAATGCTGTCTATTTGTGTATTGCATAATGGTTGCTGACTCTGTTCTGTGATGCTTCTGTTCCCAGGCGTTTGGCGGCTCTTCAGAAGAGGCGGGAGCTGCGAGCAGCAGGGATTGAGATTCAGAAGAAAAGAAAGAAGAAGCGGGGTGTGGATTACAATGCTGAGATCCCATTTGAGAAGAAGCCCGCACCAGGATTCTATGATACCTCAGAAGAGAACTATGATGCTCTGAATGCAGACTTCAGAAAGTTGCGGCAGCAGGACCTGGATGGGGAGCTGAGATCGTAAGTTATTAAAGCCTGTTTCTGAGCACAAGCTTTTTATTTATTTTTTTGGTTTACCTACACTTTGAGGTAAGTTATCAGTCACACGGGAGTACAGTTTTCTCAGTGAGTCAGCCACTACAAACTTGGATTTTAAGAACTATTAGTAAAAGGCAACCACTGTGAATCGCTGTAAGGCAGTCAATGGAGCCTGGGTTTGTAACAAGCCAATATAGCTACTCCTATTTACATTTGTAGTTAAAATCTATGTGAGGAAACCAGGCTTTTAAATCCTTAAAGAAGTTACATTATATTGTAATAATGTCCCCCAATGGACCAATTCCTATCTGCCTGGTAGTTGCTGAGCAGCCTGATTGGACAGCTTGCCCTCCTCTGCTGTCTGACCATGCTGTTGACATGGAAACAAATACAAAATAAGGGTTGATTGACAGCGCTCGTCAGTACAGCAGGCATATGCTGGAAATGAGCACTGTCATTCAGTAGGGGAGGGGACAGATTGGATCACACACAGGGCTGTACGGGGCTCCATGATCACGACTATTATTTATACAAACTATTCTGCAACAATAAATGCAGCCTATGTTTCATACTAGCAACTGATCACAGCCGTGCCAGTGTTGAGTGGGTTTGAATAGTTTTTGTATCATCCCTGGTACATCCAGGCTTTGTTTGTAAACTTACAGTTTGATTTACTAAAGGCAAATAGACTGTGCACTTTGCAAAGTACAGTTATACTCTGCAAGTTGAGTTGCTCCAGAGCTTAGTCAGTGACCAAAACCTCTGCTGACTTTCATCATCCAATCATCTTGTACATGATTGGATATTCTTTGCAAAGTTAAACTTTAGCTCATTTACTAAGCTCTGCACTCTTGCACAGTAGAGGACAGGGGAGAGAGAGAGGGACAGGGGAGAGAGAGAGAAACATATCAGCACAGGAGGCGGCAGAAGTAGTTTTGGCTGTAGCCCTCCATATAGGAATGCTAACAATTTGGGCTTCAGCTTGGGATGGAACTAAGCAGCACAATAGCAAAATTTACTTATAACAAATCACAGGGCCGAGGGTCAAAACAGGACCAGGTACTACATACACTTGGTTCCTTGGAGAATTCCACTAAGATTTTTTTGAAGGTAGTTATAATTCTCTTTAACACACACACGATTTTTTACATCACACTGTTTCTTATATGTTTAGATAACATGGTGAAAAATGTATACATTCACTTTCACAGCCAGCCTAAATGATTGCCCCCCACCTCATCCTCTATTTTCCAGCTATGGGATATCAACGCTGGGCTGGACTTGTGCTTTCTGGCCAGTTTACAGCTACAGTAGCTGAGAATGTGTAAATCTGGTAATCCGACAGGTGGCTGTACAGGTGTAAATCACTTGCACGCACCCCGAGTACATTTGTCCCCCTATGTGGCATAAAACATTTGAACTGACCACCCTTTTATTCTCCAGAAAATATATAATGTTTTGGGGTTTTAAGTAATTTTTTGATATGAAATTATTATTATTTTTTTTTTTTAACCACTTCAAGTTCGGACACTTATACCCCCTTCCTGTCCAAACCAATTTTCAGCTTTCAGTGCTGTCCCACTTTGAATGACAATTTCGCGGTCATGCAACACTGTACCATATGAATATTTTAGCATTTTTTGGAGACAGATAAAGCTTTATTTTGGTAGTATTTATTTACCACTGGGATTTTTATTTTTTTTTTCTATGTAAATGAAAAAGTCCAAAAATGTTGAAAAAAGTGTTTTTCTTATAAAATTTTGCAAATAAATAATATTTCATCATAAATCTTGGCCAAAATGTATTCTGTTATATTTTTAGTAAAACAAAAATAGCCCAAATTAGTTAATAACCAAAAATTATAATTTTTAAACATTTTGTTTTTACATTTTTATTTTTTTTTTAGATTATTTGTTTTTTTTTTTACATACTGTCACCCTAGCAGTACAGTGTCACCATGGTGACACTGTACTACTTGTGGGGGGTGATGATTTTTTTTTTTTTTTTTTTTTTTTTACACTGATTGCTTTTACACCCATCAAGGCTGTAAAAGCAATAATTTCTCCTTCTCTCTGGCTGTATTCTTGCACAGCTTGTCACATGGTAGAAGGCTGTTGTGAATAGCCTTGTACCATGTGACCTCTGTGATCAGAAGTGACATCTTGCTTACTACTCTGCATGTGATCACTGATTGGCCAGTCAGTGATCACATGATCGTGACATCAGAGAGGTCCCGTATGACGATCGGTGTTCCATTGTGTCCGAAGCACACAGGGGGCACTGGATCGCGGTGCTGCGCGCTCCCAGGGAGCGTGCACAAGCAGGGGGCGGGGAGGCCGTTTATAAACAGCCACCCGACCCTGCACTGCCACCGTCCAGCCGTTTATATACAACAGCCGGACGGGAGGTGGTTAAGTGTGCAAAATGCAAAAACAGCTCTGGCAGAGAAAGGGTTAACCCAGGAATCCATGCCATGTATTTAGTGTTACTAAACTCACAACAGTAAAATCAGTCTGTATATGCAGTAAAGCATGCTCACTGTGGAAGGGGTTAATCCTCTGCATTGTGTAAACAGTCTGTTTGATCCTGATTGCTCTGTTCCTCCCCTTGTTTAACCCCTTTACGCCTAAGGGTAAAACAAATCTAAATACCTAGGCAGAATTTTGCAACGTTGACATGTGTTAGTAAAACCGTACATATCATCACAACTACTTTCTACATCCAGGTGAATTATACTGCATTTTTTTCAGGACAAATTGGGCTTTCATTTGGTGGTAAATGGTAATGGATATCTCCTGATTTTTTTTTTTTTTATTATCAAAGGAAAACTGGCCCAAAATGATACAAAAATAATAATTTTTTTATTTAGCTGTGTGTTTCTTGTTACTACCATAACCTACAACCAAAGAACAACCCAAAATAAATTCTCCAGCTCTTGATGTTCGCATCGATACTATATATGTGTATGTTATTTGTTGTTTGTACCCGTAATACTGCCCAGAAACAATAGTACGCATTTTGTTTTTGTCTTTTTTTTTTTTTTTTTTTTTTTTTTTTAAACCTAAAACACACTGACACCGATACCATTTTTTTAAAAAACCCTGACCTTTTGACCTTGACCCAAACACTAATCCTGGCACGGAAATAGATCAAACCTTGATCTAGGTATTTTTTCTTTATTTTTTTTATATAATTTTTTAATATTTATTTATCTTTTTTTTTTTCACAAACTTTTTTTTTTTCTCTCTATGCCAGGAGTTAGAGAGATACAATTTATTTCTCTTCTCCATTCATAGAGAGAAAAAAACAAGGGGGCTGGGCTGCACAGTGACTGATCACTGTGATAGCCAATCAGATGCTATCACAGCGATCATGTGACCCGGAATCGGGGGTCCCGATTGTTAGAACAGGACCCGGGGGCTCTCAGTGACACCGAGGTCTTTGTGCTGGGAGCGTGCAGTGCGGCTCCCTCCCAGCACAAAGACAGGTACGCAAATATGCGGCCCCGCGGAAAAAAGCCCAGTTCCGTAAGGCCGCATATTTGTATGACGTCGGCGTCAAGGGGTTAAGCAACGACTTATCTCCTAATAAGACACTGAACTGTAGGCATTTTGCACATGCTCAGTTTGGTATCGCTAGAGAGGTTTTTTTTTTCTTGGGAGAGTGCATGTGATCAGCAAAGGGCCAATCAGCACTGGTCAGACAGAGGTCAGGGGTTCTGCATCCTCCTAGAGCAGAAAGAAAACTCCTATAAGCTTTAGCTAGTGCTGAGCTGAACACTGATAGAAATCACAAGACTTCACTAACTGCTGAAGAGAAAAGGTATTTAGCAGTTTATATATTCTAAAATAATTGCATTTCTATGTTCTGTGTGCTGTGGGAGACCAGATATAGTGAATGCAGGGGCCTGGGTTTAGTAACACTTGAATGTAAATTGGTTCACTCACATAATTTTCAATTGCAGTGAAAAAGAAGCACGAGAGAGGAAAAAGGACAAGCAGAACATAAAAAGGAAGAAGGAATCTGATCTACCTGCTGCCATCCTTCAGACAACTGGTGGGGTCTCTGAGCTGACAAAGAAGAGAAGCAAATTAGTTCTGCCTTCTCCCCAGGTATAAAATGAGCACACATATGTGCTAATATAATATTGACAACAGGGATGTTTATGCCCCAAGGTAGTCCTAAAATCTTGATGTCCCTGTGGATTTCCCTGGAACATCAAGATCTACCACAGATTCACTCTCCTTTGCTACCTTTCTGCACTAGGAGTCCACCCAGAGTAAGCTCCTTTGCCACAGCTTTCCTGGGTTGGCGATTTCACTACCTCTTGTCTCCGATTACAGTGCTCAGACCAATGTACTGTCATATGAGGGAAGACATGCTCCTGCATACCGGGACACCTTACTGCCTTATAGCAACAAGGGCTCTGATGGAGCAGGGAGACAGATTGGGAGTGTGGATGGCGGAATATACCTTGCTGAAGAACGACTGGTTATCAGTAAAGAGTGTCACTTTTCCATCAAGCCCATCTCTGGGCACTAGAAAAAAAAATACACTTACAGTGGGGCCTTCCCACACTTCAAGGGTTAAATACTTAAGTCTGCAGTTAGAGGAATGAGCTGTAATACTTCTAGGCTTTTGCGTTACAAAAGTGGAAGAAAAACTCATGATCATTATGTCCTATGGAACTCTTCACGCTGGTCAGTTACGGATCCATGGCATTTTTTTAAAATCCTGCTTGCTGCATTTTTTGTGCCTGAAAACAAAAAAAAGCACCAAAACCAACCTGTGGTTGCATTTTTGGGTCCCATGTCCTTTTTTCACATGTGCAAAGCACGGTAAAAACGTAGCCTTATTCATTTCTCCAGAAGTCTTCCTCCATGCTGTGTGACTGGTACCTCCCTGTGGCTCTGGTGGGCGGTCGCACTCTGACTTCATCGAATACAATGCAGGACTAATAATCCTGCCTTGTACATGAGGACCCGCACACAACCCAGATCTTCAGGGAGAAGAATGCCAGTGGTTAGGGAATGGAGTAAGTAATGCAGCCTTTTCTTCTACCCTTCAGACTTAATTCGCAATTAACCCTTGTTAAGGAAGGGGGTAAGGGTACAGTCACACCTCTGAATTTTGGTGTGTTGAGCAATACATAAAAAACAATCCCTCTTACTGCATCCTTCATGCAGTTTAGAGCAAAACACCCCTTCTGTAGGGATGCTTGGTAACTCAGGTGCACCTAGTACACAGAGGGCTTAATGTAGCCTAGTGACCTACAAATTCATGTTTATACATGGAGCTGTACCTCAACACGTATGGTTAGATTGTGCCTTTGTGTCATGCTATCTTGCCAGCTTTATGAGGGACTACACACAGGGGTTGACTTACTCAAACTGGAGAGTGCAAAAGCTAGTGCAGTTGTGCATGGTAGCCAGTCAGCTTCTATGTTCAATATGTTCAATTTAGCTTTGACAATTATAAGCTGGAAGCCAATTGGTTTCTATGCCCAGCTGCATCAGATTTTGCACTCTCCAGTTTTAGTAAATCAACCCCACTGTGACACTTTTGAGCACGGAATTCTTTGTGCCAGAATGTGTCATTCCCAGGACCAGAACTTGTAGGTTTCACTTCACTTCCGTATGTGGAAATGGTATTACATGGACTCTCATTTAAAAGAAAGTCCTTCTAGCAACTGGAATTCGAATCTTTTTTTCTGTTGCAGAAATATAAATTGCGCTTTAAGGAAATGTACCTTTTTTTTTTCTCTTCAGATATCGGACGCAGAGCTGGAGGAAGTAGTAAAGATTGGCCAGGCCAGTGAGCTTGCCCGCCAGACAGCAGAGGAATCTGGAATCACAAACTCTGCATCCAGCACCTTGCTTTCTGAATATAATGTTGCCAATAACAGCATCGCCTTGAGGACGCCCAAAACTCCTGCCGCACAGGACCGCATCTTGCAGGTAATCTAGACATTTTTAAATTGGCAGTGCATTATGACCAAACTGAAATGTAAATTATTATGACCACTGAATCGCAAATCTGAAATCTAACCATGAATTTTCATTTTGTAACCTCACTTCTCCCCATTTTCTTTACTGCCTGAATTAGACACTGTCAATTTAAAAAGAAAACAAAAATGGTCTGCGACATTTACCTTCTTTATTATGTGATACCCTTTCATGATGTGTTGTACTGAAGGGGTTGTGAGCCACAATCGGGTTCAGGTTTGGATATCTGCTAATTTTGCTCTCCTAATTTTGAGAAATGGATTGCACGTGCACGCCGGAAAATGATCACACTGACAACTGTCCAGTTTAACCACTTCCTCATCTCTGTTTATTGCAGGGCGGTGCTTAACCTTTACACACAGAGAACAATAGGGTATACGTCATTATAATATAAAAAAAACAGTCACAATCTAAAAGACACATTTTGGTTGGCTGAAATACAGAAAGAAGGCAGGAACTTGTTGCTTGAAGCTTGGTTGTCGCTCGTTATCTCTTCACTCCCTCACATATTCAAGGTGCAATTGCAAGATCTTCACAGCTCGACGGGAGGGGTCGAGAACATTGCTGAACAAACATTTTTGAGTTAAGGAGGACTACAAAGCCCAGCATACAATAGATATACACACAACATCTATATTTATATTTATAAATATGAAAAAGTATAAAAGTAGATAGGTGAAAAATGTATATATTCAACAGGAAACCAGATAGGCATTTTACCATATCCATCACAGTACTTATGCATCTACCACTAAACCCAATAAAGGTATGAAGTTAAAAAAAAATACTTGTTGGTATAAAGTATAGACACCTAGAGGTGTATGCAAATAATTGATGCAGCATATAATAAACCGCTTTTATGACTGAGCCTTGGATGTTCTGAAAGGCAAAGCTGACATTTATTTGTAACAGACATCAGGTAATGTTGGGCTTTGTATCACCCAATTCATTATGTTTTAATATAACTTCAATTCTCAGTCACAGACACATACACTATATTGCCAAAAGTATTGGGACAGCCCTCCAAATCATTGGATTCAGGTGTTCCAATCACCTCCATGGCCACAGGTGTATAAAATCAAGCACCTAGGCATGCAGACTGCTTCTACAAACATTTTTGAAAGAATGGGTCGCTCTCAGGAGCTCAGTGACTCCAAGCGTGGTCCCGTGATAGGTTGCCACCTGTGCAATACATCCATCTGTGAATTTTCCTTGTTACTAAATATTCCGCGATCAGCTGTTTAGTGGTGTTATAACAAAGTGCAAGCAACTGGGAACAACAGCAACTCAGCCACGAAGTGTTAGGCCGCATAAAATGACAGAGCGGGGTCAGCACATGCTGAAGCGCACAGTGAGCAGAAGTCGCTTAACTGTCTGCAGAGTCAATAGCTGAAGACCTCCAAGTGGCCTTCAGATTAGCACAACAGTGCGTAGAGAACTTCATGGAATGGGTTTCCATGGCCGAGCAGCTGCATCCAAGCCTTACACCACCAAGTACAATGGAAAGCGTCAGATCCAGTGGTGTAAAGCGCACCGCCACTGGACTCTAGAGCAGTGGAGATGTGTTCTCTGGAATTACGAATCACGCTTCTCTGTCTGGCAATCTGATGGACATGTCTAGGTTTAGCAGTTGCCAGGACAACTGTACTCTCCTGACTGCACTGTGCCAAGTGTAAAGTTTGGTGGAGGGGGGATCATGGTGTGGGGTTGTTTTTCAGGGGTTGGGCTTGACCTTAGTTCCAGTGAAGGGAACTCTTAAGGCATCAGCATACCAAGACATTTTAGACAATTTCATGTTCCCTACTTTGTGGGAAGAGTTTGAGGAATGCCCCTTCCTGTTCCAACATGACTGCGCACCAGTGCACAAAGCAAGGTCCATAAAGACATGGATGAGCGAGTTTGGGGTGGAGGAACTTGACTGACCTGCACAGAGTCCTGACCTCTACCCGATAGAACACCTTTGGGATGAATTAGAGATTGCAATCTAGGCCTCCTTGTCCGACATCAGTGCCTGACCTCAGATGTGCTTCTGGAAGAATGGTCAAACATTCCCATAGACACACTCCTAAATCTTGTGGACAGTCTTCCCAGAAGAGTTGAAGCTGTTATAGCTGCAAAGGGTGGGCCAACTCAATATTGAACCCTACGGACTAAGACTGGGATGCCATTAAAGTTTATGTGCGTGTAAAGACAGGCATCCCAATACTTTTGGCAATATAGTGTATATCTTTTCACTAGCAATGCTTGGCTAGGTAGTGTTTGCATCTAGCAGTGTTCCTTCCATCATGTGTGAATGCAGTGTCGGGTGCAGGTTGGCAGTATTTGATCTGCACTATTGGCCATGTGTGGATTATGAGGGTTTAGGAGGGGCTTTTCCAAAATGGCAGGTAGTATGTGCTTTCCTTTTGTTTTTCTGATACTCCCCGCATATTAAATCTCAACTGCTATATCATATGTTTTAGATCTTGGCAAATATTTTTTGAGGCGGAGTTTATTAGGTTTGTTGCCAAAAGAATCGTCATGTAATTTATTACACAATGCCTTATAATTGACTTTAACTTATAAGATAAGAAAACTTTCAGGCAGTATTTTCTGAATGTTACTTTTCCCCTTTCCATCCTCCACTGTATACACATACAGTTCTGGTACCGAGTCTACCAGCTTTTCACCAAAACATTTACCTGTTGTTGGTACATCCTGCTGTTTGCACATGTGACTGTATATTTAGTGACGGTGCCTCCGTCTTTTAACCTCCATTCTCCATATATACTGGCAGTCGGCTTCTGGTATAAAAAGTCTCCCACTGCTAATAACTTATTTGCATCCCTTTCAGTAGATCATGTGGCATGTTGCAACTGCTAATAACTTATTTGTGATGGGAGACTTCTGTACTGGGAGCTAATTGCTGCAGATTAGCCAATGTCAGGCTTGTCACTAAATGTCAGGTCCACTTTGAGGGTAATGAAGAGACTTTGGGATAAACCAAAATAGTTCCAATACCTGGCACATGCACAATAGCAGCAGGAAGGTAATAACACTGTTGCTACTACACATGCACAATAGAATGTGCCATCCACAACAGCCATACCCAGCTGCAGGTACATACTGTGGTCCCTGTAGAAGGTGTGTGTTTACAGTGGGATTATTTTTGGTCCTGTCGCTTCTGCTGTGACTTACGTAGGCAATGTAATCTCCTGCCTGGCAGCTCACACCCCCAACTTCCCTGCTTGAACTGTGCTGCTGGCCAAGAAGAGTGCATATAAATTTACAGCTGGAAGCTCCTGTAACCACCCCCTCACCACCACAGCCCTAGTACCTCTACCCCTCTAACCACTGTGCTTGCACTCCCCACAGTGCCAACAAACTTCACACCGCTGTGCTTTCACCCCCCTCCCCCCATGCCTTCACCAGTTCTGCTGACCCCCGTTCTACTTTTCCCACCCCACACCTGCATACCAACCCCCTCATGCCCCCTCTCCCACATGCATAAGCTTCAGTTGCCACTGCACCAGCATCCACCTCTGTGCTAATTGTCACTGCACCACTGCTTTCACCAGTACCCACTGCCACTGTACCAATATGTGCTTCTGTGCTGTCCACTGCAGTGACACATCCTCCAGATTCCCTATATCCAAGGCTCAATATGTTATTAAAATGAAACATTCATTACAATTAAACAATATTCACTGAGACCCGGTAATGCAGTATACAGTAACCTATAATTACCCAGCAGGCCCACTATCTGGACTGCACTTGTTTCTGTGCATTTTTCTTCTGTGCTAACAAATCTAAATGTTTATTCTACAGTGAGCATCAAATATAACTGAGGATTTGGTAAACATGATGTGATCTTTATGTATTTTGCAGGAAGCCCAGAACTTGATGGCACTTACAAATGTTGATACCCCTTTAAAAGGTGGGCTTAACACGCCCCTCCACGAAAGTGATTTCTCAGGGGTAACTCCACAGCGACAAGTGGTGCAGACCCCAAACACGGTGCTGTCCACACCATTCAGGTGAGAATACCCATTCTGCTTATTTGTAATCGACTAAAGGGTTGCTTTTCTTGCTGATCCAACAGCTCATCCCAGTGGTAGTCATGGTAGCAAGGCACTTACAAGGCTGTTGAAGTTTTAAAGTTATACACATTTAATAACCAGATGACTCATTTATGCTGTGTGTAGATTACTGCTCAAAACGTACAATTATATACACCAAACGTATATCATTCTTCTTGATTGCTTAAAGTGGGACTCCAGTCTATGGTATCTGTATACTGACTGCACTTATTTAAATCTCTCTATCGTCCCTTAAGGGATACAGCATTATTATCAAAAGCAACCAAGGATTTCCTGCCATCTATAGGAGAAATGGACACTAGCAAAATTAGAATCTGAGGACCAGTCCCCTAGAGGCTATAACTCCTCCCACTTCAAACCTGCTCAGTTATGCTTAGTGTCCTTAGGAGAATGGATGGCGCCTTCCTTTCTGCTGTATTTTTCGCTTCGATTTCTTCACTTTGCCATGGATGACAACCGTTAACAGTTTGTGGCTCTTCTCTTCAACCTTGCTTTGACCCCAAGAGTGTTCACAAATGTCCTTGTGTTGGTTCTGGGATTTCTTTGTCTCTGTATTCCAGTCATCACATATCTCTATAATCTGCAACTGCGTGAACAGACTCCTGTGACCTTGGATGCCAGTGTGTCAGTTTCAGTGCAGACCTTGGAGAACTTTGCATTGATACTGAACTTGACAAAGTCATCTTTGATTCTGTCATATTAAGAAAAATATACAGTAAGCGCTCAATACTGGTGGCAGCAGCTGAACATAAAAGGAAAACGCATATAAAGTCCCACAATACATAAATATACAAATGCAGCGCTTCAAAGAGTGATAAACACAGTCCAGTGAAAGAAGTGCTCCGTGATTCCTAGTGCAAATGGTGGAAATTTACACTAACCAGATAGCATAAAATTATACGCATGTGTGTATATATCCTGTGGAATCCCCTTCTCCACTCAGATCTGGTCAAAAGAATAGCCGGAAAAGGTAGGTATCCTGCGCCCTCGTGTGGTGAAAGAGTGGTCCAGCAGGTCAGAGTGATGCCAATCTGAGAAAAGCCTCCCCCGTCTCAGGAGATCCTTAGGGGCTGTGAAAATGGAAGAAGCTCCTCACAGGAGACACAGGGGAGTACTCATAGTGTAGTAGAAAAGGCTTTATTTTAAAACATCTGTGCACAATGAACAGGGTATAGGCAGATATGGATGAAACACACTGACCCCTTGATATCACAGATGGCCGCCGGGCCTCCTCGTGGCACCGGCGGCTTAGTGTCAATGGCGTCCTGGGTCCCACCTATACCCACCTATACCCTGTTCATTGTGCACAGATGTTTTAAAATAAAGCCTTTTCTACTACACTATGAGTACTCCCCTGTGTCTCCTGTGAGGAGCTTCTTCCATTTTCACAGCCCCTAAGGATCTCCTGAGACGGGGGAGGCTTTTCTCAGATTGGCATCACTGTGACCTGCTGGACCACTCTTTCACCACACGAGGGCGCAGGATACCTACCTTTTCCGGCTATTCTTTTGACCAGATCTGAGTGGAGAAGGGGATTCCACAGGATATATACACACATGCGTATAATTTTACGCTATCTGGTTAGTGTAAATTTCCACCATTTGCACTAGGAATCACGGAGCACTTCTTTCACTGGACTGTGTTTATCACTCTTTGAAGCGCTGCATTTGTATATTTATAGATTCTGTCATATTGTTTGGAGTACTTACTTGGGCCGCCTTGTGGATACCTTTTAGGCCAAGGTCTTCCTACATCTGGAGAAACTGCAGAGTCAGATTCAGCAGCTTCAATCCCTATGTCTGTGTTCCCCTTGGAGCTTCATGCTACTTCTGGGATTGAGGTATCCACTTTTGAAGCGGCTCCTTTTGCTTAATTCAGTGCCACAACTTTACAGCAAAACATCCTAATAGAGTGGAACAAGTCCAGTCTTTGGATGATATGATCTGGTTACATCCTCAAACCAAGGTGCCTCTATCATGGTGGTTGCTGTCTCTGGAATTGTTGGAGGGCAAACTTTTATTATTCCCCTATGTTAGAAGATTGTCACAATGGACTCCAGCCTTCTGGGTTGGAGCAGAGTTTTGGACCATCTATCTTTTCAAGGTTGTTGGTCTCTGGAGGACTCCCGGAGTTGTTAGTGATGTCATTACTTTTCTGGACTTCCCTTCTGACCTCTCCCCCCTCATCTGGTCCTGGTTCAGTCAGACGATGCCACAGTTGTGGCCTACATCAATCAGGGGCACCAGGAGTGTTGTGGCAACAGAGGTAGATTCTATCCAGTTGTCGTTAGAATTTTATTTTCCAGTGATCTCTGCTGTGCACATTCCCAAAGTGGACATCTAGCAGGCACATTTTTCTTAGCAAATGAGGTCTGGACCTGGAAAAATGGTCTCCCCATTGAGAGGTGTTCTGGAACATACACTATACAGGCATACCAGGGTTTACGAATTTAATGCGTTCTGCGGGATGTTTCATATTGCAAAAAAATTTGTAAATCGAAATGCGGTTTCCCATAGGAATACATTGAAAACTCCGTTCCAGAGGTCAGAAAAAAGTTTAAAAAAGTCTTTTTATCTGTCCAAAACTCTTTAATAAGTGCACTTTAAAGGCATAAATTCTGTACAGGGACATCATTAAAAAACAATTAGTAAATTAATTGAAAACCAATTAATCAGTTTCGGTGGTCAGAAAAAAAAGTAAAAAAAAAGTCTTATCTGTTCAAAACTCTTTATAGAGTGCACTTTAAAGGCAAAGGGCCGGTGCTATAAACGCTTCTTATTGCGAAAACAATTTGTAAACTGAGGCATTATTTTCAATGGATTTTCATCCGTAATTCAAAAATGATGTTAACCGAGCCGATCATAAACCGAGGTACGCCTGTATTGCCAAATGTATTGGGAGATCCAAATCATTGGATTCTGGTGTTCCAATCACCTCCATGGCCACCAGTGTATAAAATCAAGCACCTAGGCATGCAGACTGCTTCTACAAACATTTGTGAAAGAATGGGTCAAACTCCGTGAATTCAAGCATTGTACCGTGATAGGTTGCCTCCTGTGCAATGAGTCCATCCTTGAAATGTCCTTGTTACTAAATATTCCACAGTCAACTGTTAGTGGTATTATATCAAAGTGGAAGCAAATGGGAACAGCAACTCAACCACGAAGTGGTAGGCCACATAATATGACAGAGTGGGGTGAGCGTACAATTATTATTATTATACAGGATTTATATAGCAGCAACAGTTTGCTCAGCGCTTTACAGTATAAAGGGGGACAATACAGCAACAATACAGTTCAATACAAAAGGACTAGGAGGGCCCTGCTCCTTGGAGCTTACAATATAAGTGGGAAGGGCTGGTGGTACAAAAGGTAATAACTGGGAGAAAGAACTGATAGGAGGAATACAAGATTCCATTATTAGCTGAAAGCAGGATAGGTTTCCCTGAAGAGAGAGGTTTTCAGAGATCGCCTAAAAGTGGTCAGAGTAGGCGATAGTCAGATAGATTGGGGTAGAGCGTTCCAGAGGATGTGGGAGGTTCTGGAGAAGTCCTGAAGACAAGCATGGGAGGAAGGGAGCTAGAGAGCAGGAGGTTGTGGGATGAGCGGAGAGGACGGTTTGGGTGATATTTGGAGACAAGATTGGTGATGTCATTTGGGGCAGAGTTTTAAATGGCTTTATATGTTATTTGTTAATGTTTTAAATTTTATTCGTTGGGCAATGGGAAGCCAGTGGAGGGATTGTCCGAGAATGATGGCAGATAATGGAACGGTTCGTAAGGTGGATGAGTCTGGCAGCAGCATTCATGATGGACTGAAGAGGGGATAACCGGTGATAAGGTAGGCCAATGAGGAGGGAGTTACAATAGTCAAGGCAAGAGATAACAAGGAAGTGAAAAAGATGCTTAGTGGTTTTGGTGGTTAAAAATGGGCATATCATGGAGATGTTGCGGAGGTGAAGTCTACAAGATTTGGACAGTGATTGGATTTGGGCCTGAAAGGGCAGATGGGAGTCTAGGATTACACCTAGTACCAAGGCATGAGGGGAGGGACTGATGATTGTGTTACTGATCTTGATGGAGAAGTCAAGGTAGGGGGCATGGGCTGGAGGGAATAGTATGAGCTCCATTTTGGAAAGATTTAGTTTGAGGAAGTAGAGTGACATCCGTGCTGATATGTGACTTAGTAGGTTAGTAATGCGAGAGAAGACTGAAGGGGTGAGGAGTAGAAAGATTTGTGCGTCATCAGCATAGAGATTGTACTTTAAAGCCATGAGAGTTTATCAAGTGACCAAGGGGAGGAGGTGTAGATTGAGAAGAAAAGGGGTCCAAGGATAGAACCATGAGGGACCACTACAGAAAGAGGAAGTGGAGAGGAGGAGACAGAGTTATAGGTAACACTGAAGGATTGCTGCGATAGGTAGGAGGAGAACCAGGAGAGCGCAGAGTCTCGAAGGCCAAGAGAGTGGAATTTTTGGATGAAGAGGGGATGGTCAACAGTATCAAAAGCCGCAGAGAGGTCAAGTATTAAGAGTATGTGTAAGGATCAATTCCTGTCTGTAGCCCAAACTGTCCCTGTTTATTTTCCCTACCACGCCTAGGAGAAATAAAGCTCCAGTCACCAAAGTGTGCAAGCTAAAGCTCTGAAAGTTTAATGCAAGACAAGAACTGTTATACAGAACTCAGTGGGTGTTGCTTAATTTTAGGATGACCAATAAAACATTCCACTCTTTATCAGTATAGTTACGTGGAGAACAGAAACTGCAAATGGTTGATAACTACCATATAAGGTGGTTCCGTTTACTGAGGATAGAAACTAAACTCCAGAAACGAGAGAGAAGTTACAAGCAAAACTCAAAACCGAAACGAACTGTTGACACATCTAGAAATGGTTTGCAGTATACAAAATGCAAAAATGGATGCCAGTTAATAAGACATA